ATCGAATATTCCGTTACGGTACTGGAAGTTCCAGCAATTTGCCTTAAGGCACGATGCCATACACACCATTAGTTTAACTTTAATTCAACATTTGTCATTGCCAAGGATCGATCCAAGAATTGCTGACGTCGACAGGGAGGGCACTGATTGATCTATTCCCACCACATGTAATAGGCCTAGGGAAGTTTAAAAATTTGTCTATTTTTCTAATTGTGTATGATTTTTTTCTATATCTGGAAAAAATATATTGGCTAATTTCAAGGTATCAGATATTTTTTCCGTCTTTCGGACTTCGAAATCGGGCTCAATGAACCATATTGTGACATTTCGGCAGCCGCTGCCGCCGCCGCGCGGATCCTTCCGCCCCGAGCGATCTTATTCGGGGATCAAAAGCACGGAACAATATTGCAAATGGCTGCCAGACCCTTGGGCTAAGACAAACACACCGCGATTTTCATTTGTTCTTTTTATTTATACAATATACACGTATGCATTATATTCGGAAGGCCCGTACACTGTACAATACTCGTATTATACAGTAACGCACCAGCAATGCCAAAAAAAGGACCGAGAAGTTTTTGCCGAGTACCCAAACGATTTCTATCTAAATTTTTTTTATCAACTACTATTTCTTTAGCAGTTTTTGCAGCGAGGCTCAAAAAAACGAGGTAAACATCCTTGTTTGCAAAAAGACGAAAATATAAAAATAACTGATTTTTTTCAAAAAATATTTCAAATGCCACTCAACGAGCTTGTTGTGGTCCACTTGCAAAAGCTTTAGTAACAACCGCGGTTTTATCCAAAATTGTAATTTTAGTTGAATTTATATGATATCAAAAAATAGGAAACAAAACCAGAAAATGAGGAAAACTATAGGTACTACATTTTAACTAGTAATACCTGAAAAAGAACAAATTATTGATAAAAATTATCCATATAAAGCTTTCTTTTATATAAAAATAACTAATTAGAAAATATAAAAATAACTGATCTTTTCAAAAAACATTTTAAATGCCACTCAACGAGCTTGTTGTGTCCCACTTGCAAAAGCTTTAGTAACAACCGTGATTTTATCCAAAATTGTAATTTTTGTTGAATATATATGGTATCAAAAAATAGGAATCAAAACCAGAAAATGAGGAAAACTGTAGGTACTACATTTTAACTAGTAATACCTAAAAAACAAATTATTGATAAAAATTATCCATATAAAGCTTTTCTTTATATAAAAATAACTAATTGGAAAATATAAAAATAACTGATCTTTTCAAAAAAACAAATTATTGATAAAAATTATCCATATAAAGCTGTCCTTTATATAAAAATAACTGATTAGAAAATATAAAAATAACTGATATTTTCAAAAAACATTTCAAATGCCACTCAACGAGCTTGTTGTGGCTCACTTGCATAACCTTTAGTTACAACCACGGTTTCAAATTCTATTCCTGTTTCCAACAGCTTGATATCAAGCAGTAGTGAGAAAATATCTAATAATAATATCATGACAAGCCTTTGGAGGAAATATCTAATAATAATATCATGGCAAAGAAAGATAAATACATCCACTGGGATGTCTTGTAATAATTGTGGATCAGAAGGATTTGTTCTGATTGCTGCTGGAAAATTTAGAAATAATAAATAAAACACAAAAATGTAATAAGTAATTCGTTAGCAAAACGAAACTGTGTTAAAGATATCCGTGATCCAATGAAGTTTAAAAATTATAGACATCATCTATCATCAGGACATAAAAATGTGAAATAAAAATTCCACTCAACATAGAATATAATAAAAAAATGATGTCATTCTAATAAAAATGAAAAAATTCTAATAATAAAGTTATAAGTTTATAGGTTTTAAAATAAATAAAAAACAAAATGATTTTCCAAATTAAATTTTTTTTCTAGAATACGTTGTGCACAGACAGTTATGAATTTTTAAAACAAATGATTTTGTAAATTTTGAAAACTCAATATTTTTTATGTTCAAAATAATTTTAAAAGTATTATAAGAAAGCTTTGAATATTTTACTATTTTTATGTGGTAAATTAAGGTAAGTTTACTACTTGATATTAACAATATATTTAATTATATACATATTTGTATTAATGATTTTTTGTAGAATATTTGAACAGATTTAAAATCTGTCATGTTGAATACAATTTTTTAATTAGGAAATATATATTACAGTGTTTATAAAGATTTTTTTGGATTTAGTTTGGATGCATCGAAGGAAAAATGGTTTTATGTATAAATATTTTTAAAACCATACAGAAATAGGTGTAAGTGTCATTTTGCTTAATAGTTGCAAAAATTTTCCAATATATTTAAATAATCATACAATGCATACTTTAAAAATCGTGACGATAGATATTTGAAATTTTGTTCCGGCCTGTTGTTCCAAATTTTCATTATTTTTTTAGTGAAACCAGCTCTCATAGGACATTCGTTGAGCCAATGAGTTCTTGGATAGTTGTAAAAAGTTTTATCAAAATCGTAAAAAAACTTTTAACTAATTACCTTTTTTAGACCAGAAGGTAATTGGCACAATCCCCAACTATAGTTTTTTGAAAATTTTCAAAATTGGTTCAGTATTTTTCCTGAAAATGTGAACCTTTCTCAGTTTTTTATTAACTTCCTGTAGGACATACCTTACAATTAGAAAAAATGGATGTGTGTGTATGTAGTATGTTTGTGTGTATGTTTATATACATTTTTTGTCCACGATTACGAAAGTAGAGATCATCCGATTTGAATGATTCAAAAAACATGTCACTTGTATTGATATAATGAAGAGTTTGTTAAATTTTTCAAAAGACAGATCAAGCGGGTTTGGAGATTCAATAAAAAAGTTAAAAGATTGCTATTTGAAAAATGATCATAAGGCATATCAAATTATCAGATATTTTATAGATATTTTAATAATAATCAAAAATTTGTTTATATTTCTATGGGTTCCCTACAAAAACTTGTTGATGTGCAATTGTAATTGCTTCGAAACAAGAAATTTTGAAAAAAAAATTAAAGCAGTTAAAAATTTTGAATTATGATACGGGAAGTTCCAGCTATTTGTCCTAAGGCACGATGCCATACACCACTAGTTTACTTCTATTTATCGACATGCTATACGATATTCATAAACCGCACAATATCATCCACCCACTATCGTCCACCTATTTCGATCGTCTCCCGAATAGCAATTTTGAATTTCCACATCCCAAAATTATCAGCCCCGCCGAATGTATTTCCTTGCGCAAGGGGGCCCTTTGCGCGAATTTCATATCATGATTTTGTCGCCCGGAGCGAAAATTATTTAGTCCCCGTGATATGCGTGCGTGCGGCTGCAGTATCAGCCCGGGGCTATGTTTTTAGACTTGGGTTGCGCGGGTAATGTATCGCGCGGCATTATTTTCGGGCTTCAAATGCCCGATATTGTTTATAGTTATATTGATTATTATATATAAGCTCGAATTATTTATTAAACATTTGATTAATTGGAACCACGTTCATTCTAAATTCGACTTTCGAAGTTAAAGTTGCAAGATAAAGGTTGCAAATGAACAAGCATATGTTGCGAATGTGCACTGTTTTGTACTTAAGGGGCACAACTAGTGTAACTGGTAATTATTGGCGTTTTATATTAAAAAAAAACTTTGTCAATCATTTCAAAATTTCAAGAATATATTTACACGTTTTAAGCATGCATAGTAAAATTTTTGAAAAGAAAAATTAAATATGTTTTAAGTTATCGTCGATCAACAACGACGCGAAAAAAAGGCTCTTCACTGCTGCAGTGATTCCGGCCTTCCACGTGGATGAAATTTAAAAAAAATCTCATTAAACTAGATAATATTGTCTGTAAAATGAACTAGGATAAAAAAAATAAAAAATTGACAAAATGCAGCGTTTTAAAAAAAAGTCGAATTTTACCCAAAATTTTGGTCGTTTTTCGACTGCCAAAATTCGATTTTTGATCCGTTCAAAAAATCGATAGTTTATTTTATGGAGAACTATATATAGAGCATGTAAAAAAAAATTGATAGTGATCAGATCATTTGTTTTTGAGTAATCGCTGCAGCAAATTCGGAAAATGCTGTTTCGAGAAAAACGCGTTTAAAGATAAAATGATCGTTATTCTATATATTATATATATACTCTTTAAATGGCTGTAACTCAAAAAATTATTTAAGATATCGATTAAAAATTTTGGTATGTTATTTTTAAAGGTATAACCTATCGAAATATGGAAAAATTGAAAATTCGCTTTTTTGAAAATTTCACACTAGTTGTGCCCCTTAAACAACACAATCAGTGGACTACTGTAATTTAGAGTGTTCTGTAATTTCAATTTTCAGTAACAAAAATTTCCTTCACAAACAAGATTATAAATTTATTGATCAGTACTTAGCTCTTAAACCGCATCATATAAAAATTAAATATTTTTTTAAAAGCAAAATATATGAATATTACGTACCTTTTTTATCAAGTTATTACAGTAAAACCCCGTTAAGCCGAAAACGCGGTCTTGGGGATCGTTCAAGTATTACGTAAGCAGATTTATTACAATTATTTACCCCCTCCCATCCCCCTTGTCAGCAAAAGTAAGCAAAGCTTTTACCTCCTATCCCCATGCTTACGTAAACATTTTGCAATTAATGTAAAAAAATAAAAATACTACCTATGACGTAATCATCATTCAGACTTCCCTGACCTCCATGTCAACCCAAAATAAGCAAATCAACAACCCCCTCCGCCCCCCATATAGTGCTTACGTAATACTTGAACGGACCCTTAAGCAAGAAAGCGTATTATGCGGGATAAAAACATATTTCAAAGTACATGGACCAGCGCAAATCGTATTAAGCATGATTGTCCTAACGGGGTTCTACTGAATTGGTCAATTATTTCTTCCCCAGTTGGAATGAAATGGTTAAACAGTATAAAAGACAACTACTTTAATATTGTAACTCTGTTTCAGTTATATTATATGTTTTCAAATGGAAGGTGGAAATGGAACTGAAAGAACAAAACGCAGAGCAACTGAACCCCTCCAAGAAGAACCCACAAAAAAAATTAAATCCAAGCATTATTTGACAGTACCATCAAGAAATGTAGAAGCTGGTAGAGTTTTAGTTTGTGGCGAAAACAAATATGGACAACTCGGGTTAGGACCTGAAGCAAAAACGACAACTCTCCCATTAGATATCAATTTAGAAGATATCGTTGCAATTGATACAGGAAGCTTTCACAGCGTCTGCTTAAACAACAAAGGTGAGGTATTCACATTTGGCCACAATAGAGATGGAGTTTTGGGTAGAAACACTGATTACACTAGAGACCAAAATGATTTGCAAGCTTACCCTGGATTAGTTAATTTACCGAACGAAGCCGTGAAGATATCAGCAGGAGATTATCACTCTTGCGCACTGTTGATAGATGGTACGGCTTATGTTTGGGGAATTTATAAAGAAACTGGAGAACTTCTAGAGAAGACTTATGAAGAAGGGTATTATACTTGCAATAGACCTGAACTTCTTAGTCATACAAGACAATTTGTCGATATCTGTTCCGGGATAGAACACTTATTACTACTGGATACCTCTGGAAAATTATATACGGTTAAAAGCGTTAAACAGAGACAACGAGGCCGACAGTACCAAAGCTTTTCTAGCAGAAATTTAGATCGTGGCGGGAGAGAAGATGTTTTAGTTCTCAAACAAATTGAATACAAATTATCACCAAGGGGCAAGATAGATAAAATTTGGGCTGGAGGCTATAGTTCATTTATAAAGCGATCTGAAATTCCTGATGTTTATGCATTTGGATCAAACGCCTGTAATAAAATGGGACTTGGAGAAGATGCTGATGAAGTAAATTTTCCAAGAAAGTCACAAATTTCATCGAAAGAGATCAATTTAACCAAAATCTCAACAAGTCTTGAGCACACGTTAGCTATCGACATGAGAGGCAAGTGTTACTCGATTGGTAATGCAGACTTTGGTTTGTTGGGCTTAGGAAACCTAGACGATTTTCCTGTAGACCTTGCTGAGATTCCAAATCTTAGAGATAAAATATGCGTAGATATTTCCTGCGGAATTGCAAGTTCTTTTGCTATTACTGACCAGGGTGATGTGTACGCCTGGGGCTCAGGAACGAATTTGGGTATAATTGATTGGGAATATGATGATATTTGGAGTCCTGTTAAAATAGAGAGCATGCCAGGTAAAAAAGTAATGGCAATTAGCCCGGGCTACTATCACACTCTTTTTCTAGTGAAATAGAATTGCGGATAAATAATGTTCGAAATTACTTGTTTCAAATATGAAATTGTCACCATAAAATAATTATGTTTTGATAAATTAACACATGTATATGAAATTAACACATTGTATAAAATTTTGTATTATATTGTCGAATATATTTCTTGTACTATTTCTCAATTGATGTAAAACGAATTGCTGATAGTAGAAAAGTAATAAAGAAGTTGAGGATCAGATTTTATATAAGACTTTAATAAAAACTGTCTAGTATAAAAATAATCGATATTAATATTTATTTTAATAACGAGGACATTGAAGAATATAATATGCTTATCATAATGAGTGACTTTAAAAAAAACTGCTCATGTACATTATAATATCAATAAATTTATGTAATAACTTTTTGGCTACGGTTAAGCTTATTAGTTTCACGGCACTTCCATAATGCCCTAGTTAATTTAAGTTTTTTTGTATTTACATTTATATTAGAAATCTGTCGAACATGTTAAAACATAGAAAAAGCGCCCTCGCGCCGGTCACGCCCATTCATGCATATTGAAAAGATATAAATTAGTAGAAACGATGTGGCACCCAAGAGCAAGCGCTTATTATAAATGGGTCCCTCATTTTTTACGATCCGACTCGAATAATAATAATGCACACTTTTTAACTAAAACAAAAAATCAGTCATTTTTCGACAGGACCGGGATAGGATCTAGATACCCGTTTGGAATCATTGGTGTTATTTAATTTGTTTATGGCCAATGACAGAATACAGTTGTATACATATATAAACTCATAAAATTGTATATAAAACCTTCTATTATTTAACCAAAACTAATATATTCGCATAAATTCTTCCACTGGTTGTACAAGTCATCAGTTAACTGAATGAATTCATTGTCGTTTACTTTTAGAAAAATAATATAAAGACTTAGAATTATTCATTTCACATAAAAAATATATTACACAGAGTGTCAAAAAAAACTATGTATATATATATATATATATATATATATATATATTCGAACATATTCGAATTTTCCTTCCCAAGGGCTCAAATGGTTCTATATTCATTAAAAACAGTTCTCTGAAAGTTTTAGCTCTTAATATTGTCTTTTAGATAGAGCGCAATTCAACCAAAGTTTTGTATGAAAATAGCATGAAAAAAAATTCAAAAATTTTGCAGAGCGTCGAATTTTCAATAAAAAATGACACGAATTTTCACTTTTAATTTATTTGTCTCTAAATTATACCTAAACATTTTTTTTAATGTGTAATTTTATATATATATATATATATATATATATATATGTGTGTGTGTGTGTGTGTGTGTGTGTGTATGTGTGTGTGCTTAACATAAATTATCTATTTATAAAGCAGAAGAATATTTAATTTTATCCAAAATTGTAATTTTTGTTGGATTTATATAGTATCAAAAAACTAAGAAGCAAAACCTGGTAAATTTTAGTTATACCTAAAAAGAAGAAATAATTGATAAAACTTATCCGTACAAAGCTTTTCTTAAGAAAAATTGACTGGCCAAAAGTCAAACAGGCTTAGTATTTATCTTTCATGTTTTATTTAATATTTTGTGTGCAAAAGTTAATTATTTTTATGTTAATTCAAATTTTAGTACTTGGACCAGTAGAACCTGATCATTAGGAAAGCTTTAGGTACCAAATATTTACTGGAAATATGTCTAAAAAGCAGAAGTTATTGTGGAAAATGATCTAGGAACTGAAGATTTTTCTAAGAAAAATCGTCTGATCAAAATTCAACAGATATTTATGTTAAATGTTTAATGTTTTATTTCATATCTTGTTTGCAAACATTATTGATTCTTATATTAATTCAATTTTTAGTACTTACCTGATCATTAGGAAAGCTTTAGGCACTACAAATTTTACTGGAAATATTTTTACACAAGAAAAATGCAAATAAAAAGGAAAAATTCAATAAATTTAAAAAGTTTGGAAGACGAATTAAAAAAAAAGGAAGTGAAAAAAGTACAATAGTTTTCTTCTCTAAATTAACTGGATTCATATTTTTTTGTATTGGAATATATTATTTGTATTGGTATATATTAAAACATGTTTTCTTTAAATTTCAGAGTCGTCTGATCTGAAAAGGTTCCGTAGAATTCTTTTCCTAGCAGGACTCTATCTTTCCTAGTTGACTTCAAAAAACTTTGAACTTCAAAAATTGAATTTTAGAAAAAGTGTAGGAAACAAGGAAACAAGGTACGATAGCAACTTTTCCTAAATTAACTGGATTTTATATCCTGTCTCAGGTTTATATTAAAACATGACTTCTTCAAATTACAGATTCGTCTGATCTAAAAAAAAGTTCCATAAAAATCTTTTCCTAGTAGGACTCTGCCTTTCCTGGTTTGAAGTTCGAAGTAGAATCGAAAAAATACAAAATGAATATCGAAAAATTGACTTTCGGTTAAAAAAATGCACAAGACAAGCAAAGAAATCATCGGCTCAGCACTTAAGACAAAATAAGAACCTAGGAGCACAGGTTAAAGGCATATTGTTACGGTTTTCACGGTATCGTCATCGAGAAATTATAATATATTCTGGAGCACCAGTATTAAAGATCTATGGAAATCAAAAACATTCCACTAAAGATAAGTATTAGTAATTCAGTTTTTTGAAAATAGATAAAATTTACTACAATTCTATATACACAATCTCATACACTCCTAGGAGTCGAATAGCTATTAGAAAATTTTAAACCTACCTAATAATTTGAAATCAGGTACTTTTATCCAGTAAATTATTGAAAATTATTTATTTGAATTATATCTAAAAGGTGTCTTGATTCTTGAAGTTATATATAGAATTTTAAATGAAAATACTTTTTCAAGTTTTTATTGCAATTATATTTATAGATATAAGTTAACAAAAATTGATATGATCTAATTTTGTATATAAAACTAGCTGTACCTGCGATTTCGTCCACGTGCAAATTAGCAAAAAGGTATTCTGGTAAATTAAATATATTATAGTAAATTTTAATATTTTCATTTTAACTGCATTTGTTGAAGTTTTCTGGATAACTACATTTGTAACTTTTCTTTGATCATAGCTAATTGAATTTCGACTTTCTTTTAATCATAACTAATTTGTGTACATTTAAAAAATTAAGAATCCAACTCTTAAAACTTTTGGAAAAACAACTATCAACGTCACAAACTACTTAAATAAAAAATCTCATAAATAATTGATGAATTTTATTGTAAATCTGAATAACGAAGAACAATTTTCCTTCTTAAAATTCTTTCTGAAAGTCAAAAAAAAAACAGAATAAATATAAACAAATAGTTTAAATTAAAATAAGATAAAATTTATTAAATATTTATTAGAGATTATCAAAATATTTTGAATTAAGATGAAATGCAAACTCCAAATTAACCTTTCTGTTAAATTGCATAAGAACCAAATCTCGGGTGCAACCAGATAAGATTTTATTTTATAAAATGATGATTTATATGTATGTAGATAATATTGCTTCTTTTTTATTTTTTAGATCAAAACTGTACGCGATGTAGCAGCTTGCAAAAGAGCTATAGCTGAGCTAAAATCTCCTGGCAACTCTCTTTCCACACTTTTTAATTCCAAATCACCATCAACGACTATATGGCTCACCCTTTCAGTAGGATATCGATGGTTAAATCTATGGATAAACACTCCATTGACATAAATCTACAAGAAACAAATTATCAACATTATCAAAAAAACAACTGTGTTTATATTATTACCTTATACAAACGATGTTCGCAAACTATGGACAATTCGAAGTCGTCTCCTGGCTTTATAGCTTTTTCACAACATTCTTCCTCTCGAGCCCAAACATTGGCAAAAGTATTGAAAGATAATCGAGGTCTAAAATCAGTATTGTGGGCTTTTATGTGTAAGATAGAATCATCTAAACCATTTGTGGAACCTCCAGATTGCAAACTTACATAGAAACTTTAAGAAAAATAATTAGTAACACTTAGTTACACTTAATAGATACAATTTAATAGCACTTATTAAGATTTAATATTGAATTTAATCAGTACGTCAAGTAATTGATTATTGTTAGTTTATAATTTTTGTTGATGTTATAAATATAAATGAATTCTGCTTTGTGTCCTTACAGGACACCAGTATTTAATTTTTAGGTACCAGATTAGCTGATCGGATCCAAGTAAATCCAATATACCATTAAAATACTTTATCGAAAACAATTAAAGAATACAAATAGTAAGCACATGCAAAGACATCCAAACAAGAGCACTCAAAAAGTGGTTAAAGTTAAATTTTATTTTAATTTAGTTACCTTGCTTCATCTAAATCTAACATTCGTCCACGAATTTTGATGGTTTGATATCCAAACGAACTGGGTACTATCGGGACTCCAAATTGACCAGAAAATGGTAAATTCTTAGAAATTTAAATGAAATTTTTAAAGACAGTTAATGTTCAGATATTAATTTGAAATTCACTTACCTTACTTAAGAACTTTTGCACGTAAATTGACATTTTTCTAAATTTTGCACTATTATTTTTAATAAACTTTGATTTTTGTCTTCAGCAAATTATTCGCGAATGACTATCAACTACTATGCTGGTTTTGTAGATCAAATAACAAAAACACAATTTCAGAAGTGTAACACATTTTTTAATCTAGATACATTAATTTAATTAATTTATTAAATCATATCATGAATATTTATTTTTTTGGTTCATTTGTAATGGAATTTATTCAAAATTGTAGTAATTGTAATAATTTTACTGAAGTTTTTTTTTAATTTGATATAATTTAAAAATTTGGTTTATTTATTTCTTAATATAAAAAATGAACCAAATCAGCATAGTATTAAAATCTAGCGAATATAAAAGTAGTATTTCAATATATTTCACATATTTTTTTCCATCCAATAGTAAAGATTTTTTGTACATATGAATTTTGCATGGACTTTATTCAATCTTTTCTTGTTTTTGATATAAATTAGATCATTTATTAAT